CACTTTTGCTTCACTATTTCATTAAGTCCTAGACAGACTTTCAAAATATTTGGCACAAAGTGACTGCAGCCACATCTCATGTGTTCTTGGTTCTGTTCTTCCCCATCAACCATATTATAGATAATGTGTTTATTTTCTGTGATCCTCTAACACTGGGTAATTCTACAGGATGGAAGTACAGAGGTGCCCCGCTTGACGACCCCGTTAGACGACGAAATCACTTTATGATGACTATTTTGCAATCACTATTGTGATCGCAAAACGATGTTTCTATCAGGTTTTTCGCTTAACGTTGATTCGGTCCCTGCTTCGGGAACCGATTTTTTGCTTCACTACGATCTTTACAGCTGATCGTCGGGTTTTCAAAATGGCCTCCCGCTGTTTTCCGGACCTATTTCTGGAAGACAGCGATTGAAAATGGCTTCCCCTATGGAGGATCTTCGCAAAACAAGCAGGTATTTTCCCCCACTGGAATGCATTAACCGGTTTTTAATGCATTCCAATGGGTTTTTTACTTTCGCTTGACGATGATTTCGCTTAACAGCGATTTTAACGGCATGGATTATCGTCATCAAGTGGGGCACCACTGTAACTGTTAGAATCTGTGTGTAGTTTATGTATACTTCCATTTTAGAAAGTCAGGAAATCCAGTTCTTTTTCAAAATATCTTCTGTTTATGAATGTGGGTTATAGTATTTCTGTAGGTACCATTCAAAACCCCAATACAGTGGTGCCTCGCACAACGAGCGCACCGTAGAGTGATGAATTCGCTCTACGGTGACGCTTTTGCGATCGCTAAAGCGATCGCACAACGATGGCCCCAATGGGCGAAAATCGCAGAGCGAAGGTCAGTAAGCTGCTCGCTTACCGACCTTCGCTTTGCGACCCGCCGATCAGCTGTTCCCACCGAGAGGGCATTTTGCAGAATACTTGAATGAATCGTCTCTACTATTCTTCCCCTTAAGAGAATATCATTGCAGCCCATATGGTTTCTTAGAATTATACTTAGCCAAAATCTTTTGCTTCCCATAATAAATTGCATTAGAATAGGCCCATTAAATCCACAGGGATTTAATGAGTCAACTCTTCCATCAAGTTCCATTGATTCAAAAAGGTTTACTCTAACTGTAACTTGCTATGCTAAAGTAAATCTCTCTCTCTCTCTCTCTCTCTCTCAAGTTCCCCCCCTTTTTTTCCTTTCACTGCACATCATGCTAATGCTACCAGCAGGAAAAAGAATGTCAAACTTTTTTACATACCAAAGGGCAGCCTGAATGTTGACCACACCTATGTCAGCAGTCAGGATGGTCTATAGCTAACCCAGAAAACCTGGCCAGCACAGCTGCTGGTGAAGGCTTCTGGGAACTGCAGTTCAAAAGTTGCAGTCCCGGGTTACTCAAGGCCGGGGACCCCTGGTCTACAGGATACCCTCTTGTGCAGTCACTACCATTCAAAAAGTTACACCAAGCAGGGGAAAATTCCAGAACCTGACTCCCCCCCCCTTCTTGCCTAAACACAAACAACTGTCAGGGCCATTTTTCAAAAAGTTCTTTAAGTTTCTATTCCTTGGAGCTACAAAATAATCAAAATGTTTAGAAGAAATGGTAGTGAGCACAACAGGATATCCTGTAGACCAGGGGACCATTGCTGTAGACCACTGTGACTGCTGACATGGATCTCACCAACATTCAGGCCTTTTGCTATGAAAAGTTTGGCATCCTTTTTCCCTGCTGGTAATGAGAGTATGATATTGTGCAGTAATATCGGGCCATCTCCTGGCATTCTGAATCATGGATACAGAAGTACAGTATCCCACATTTATACATCAGAGGATCTATTTTTTAAGAACTGAATTATCTTTACTATCTTTTATATGCCAAGCATAGTCTGTTCTTTTTTTCTTTGGACTGTCCTGTTATCTGATAATGTATTTGGTATATCTGATACTTCCCTTGAAATGTAGTCATTTAAATGTTTTTACAGGTTTATTGTGTTTATTTGATGTTGCATTCAAAAATGTGTTAATGCGCCTTCACAGATACAAAAAGTCAGGGTATCAAGTTCCTTCACAGATACAAAAAGTCAGGGTATCAAGCTTCTTCTTGGAAAGCTGCAGTGGACTTCTAAGAAACATTTCAACACTGTAAATTCAAAACAACTTGTGCAGCAACAGCAGCATCTCTCATCGGCCACAATGACAGTTATTGAAATCAATTTCAAAATGGTAAATGCAGACACATGGAAACTAATGCTACAAAAAGTATCTGAGATTAAGCATTGTAACAATTCAATTCCTAGATCATCTAATTCTTCTACAAATTGATGTACATTTTCTTCTTTTCCTCAACTTCCACTGCTATTGCTAAGTCAAGAATGAACTGAAGAAAATGGCTATGTTCAGATAAAAAAGTAAGCCAGAATTCATGATTTATCTTGGTTTACTCTAAATTATGCTAGTGCCTTCAACACATCTGCATCAACTGCAATCTGTTCTTCATGTAAACAGATAACATTAACAATGGACAGAATATTCTGATTATTAAAAAAGTAACATGTAATTTTAAAAGGGATCTGAAATTTGTTTCATTCTTCATAGATGTAGTGAACATTAGGTAGTGAAAACAAACCAGCCTTCATAAATGCTACACCTACATTACTGCAACTCTATACAGATATTAAAACCTTGTAATTTCCACTCTGTATTCTTTGGCCACCTCATGAGAAGAGAAACTCCCTGGAAAAGACCCTGATGTTGGGATAGGGCAAGAGGAGAAGGGGACGACAGAGGATGAGATGGTTGGACAGTGTCACCAAAGCCACCAATATGAATTTGACCAAACTCCGGGAGGCAGTGGAAGACAGGAGGGCCTGGTGTGCTCTGGTCCATGGGGTCACAAAGAGTTGGACATTACTAAACAACTAAACAACAATGAATTTCCACTCTTACCAAATAAAAGTAATCTGTTCTGAACGTTCACAACTCTTATAAAGACCAAACTTGGTAAAGACTGCCTGTCACTGTAGTATCTGCAATATGTTGCTGATTTTCAAATGTTGCAGGCTTTGTGACGTGCATGTGCAAAAAGTATACTCAAGGGATCTGTGCACTGATATAATGCACAACGGTAATTCCTGTGTTCCTGGTTGTGAGTTACCTTTTAAAAACATGACAAAAGAATATTTGAGGTATAAAAAAAAGGTATTTGTAAACTGAACTTGTACTCCAATAAAGGCTGGCAGTTTTCTAAATTATCAAACTGATTTTAAAAGCTTTAGAATTATTTGAATACGTGCATAATCATATTAATTTTATAGCTATTTTACCTACAGTACATGTTTTATTGTAAATACCTAAAGATAGGATCAGCAGCTTGAGACTCTGGGGCTAAATTCAGTCAGTCAAACCATCTCCCACCCACCCCAAAAACCTGGAAATGAAAGGGATGAGGATAATGGCATTAAAATCACATTACAGGATGTAAACTGAGATACAAAGCAGGTTCTAGATTTTGAGGAACTTCTGAAGACTCCCAAATTCAGTGCCTCCAGTCAGTCCGTTCCTCTTGGTGCAGCTCAAAGAAACAGTGGGTGAACAAATAGGTAGAAATGGAACACTGTATATCTTCTCTCTTTGGGCAGCATGGCAGGAACTACTGAGCCCTAAGGCACTGCTGTCTCTGCACAGTCACCCAATTTCTCTCTCTCTCTCTCTCTTGGGCAATGCATTTATTTATTTATTGGATTTCTATCCCATCCATCTAGACCAAAGATCTACTCTGGGGGGTTCTCAATGCATGAGAAAGACTGAGCGTACCAGGCCCAACTTCCATTATTTTGGTGCTCAAAAAGTCACGTAGCAGAGACAGCTGACCATACAAAGAGAAGCCGTTCCGTTCTCTCGCTCATATGAGCTCTTTTTCTGAGTTGCACAGTATGAGTCACACTGCTGGATAGCACAGTAATTCAGATCTCTGATTGCAGAGCCAGAAGTTAGGAGTTCAATACCCACTCTACCTCCTTGACAAGGGCTGGACTCAAAGAGCCGCTGGGTCCCTTCCAGCTCTGCACTACTAAGATTATTATTGTTGTTGTTGTTTCCTACTGTTCAGAGTCTGGAAAAGGCCAAAGTATAGTTTCTCTTTTAATAGGCAGAATGCTGCAGAACAAGGTTATTTTGGAATACAGGCTGCTGCTTACCTATATGCCTTGGCACACTAACCACAGAATGCAAGCAAGGAGGAAGAAACAGCAGTCATGATTACTCACCTTCTCCTCTGCCAACAGGAAGTATGGGACAAGTGATGTCTGCAAGGACTGGTTGTTGCTTCTTCTAAGCATTCAATGCCCGCCCCCAAAATATCCAGCACATAACATTATATCTGCCAGAGCTAGTAGCACAGTTGAGTGAATGGAAATAGTGGCAACTGTTACTTTCAACCACTGCTCACTTTCCTGCTGTTCTGATGGGAGCAGACTGTGTGCCATGGCATACAAGTGGAAAGCACAGTCGCTGAGGACGAGAAGGTATTTCTTGTTGTACTGCCCAGCACAGACTAAGTGAGAAGATGCCCAGTTTTGGAAAGAGTTGCTAAGCTGCACCAACAACTGTTCAGTGGTCAGTAGTAGTGGACCTGAGGCACTGGGGCCTCAAGAACACCACTATGCTGCCAACCCAATGCCAGTTCAGTGCTATCTGTCTTTCTCTTCTCAAAGGGAGGAGTCCTGAGGCAAAATCTGGAGTCTTATATAATAGTTACCTAAGGGCGGCGGGGGTATGTGTGAATTTAGACTCTTACATCATCTTACGCAAAACAAAACAAAATCAGTTTTTCTAAAATACCCTTCTAGGCTGGCAGTATGATACAAAGAACACCAAACACAAATTCCAGGTGACAGAGATTTGAAATAACCAGCAACTCCCCTGACCCCCTAAAAGTGTATCAAAATGGATAGGGTCTCTCTGGAAACACCAACAAGCCCTCCAGTTTTATTTTACTCACTCATGTTCTGCTACATCAGGCAAATAAGCAGCATCTTCTTGGGACGGATGAGCCATGAAGACCACATCCAAGTCATCGAAAGCACCCGCTTTAATTAAGTCTATCTTGCCGCCTCCGTCTTCTTCAGCAGGAGTGCCCAACACCGTCACCTGAAAGCCCAAAGGTTACAAGCAGTCAAAAGCCTCACCAAAGGCAGCCACGGGGGCACCCGCGACCGGGAAAGCCGTCCATCTAGTGAGGGGCATTTGCACGGCACTTGGGGAAATTACGCACGGCCCGTTACACCGGCATCCGGAGCGGCTTACAAAACCTGAGGGAGAGGGAAAGGCGCGAAAGGGAACCGGGGCGGGGAACGAGGCGGGCGGGGAGCGAAAGGGGGCTGCGGCGGCGGTAGGAGGAGGAGGAGCAGCCCGGCCGCCTTCCTTCCTTCCTTCCCGAAGCCCTCTTTCGCCATCCTCTCTCCCTGTCTCTCCCCCTCGGCCGGCCTCACCTTGACGGCAGGGACGGGGCGGGGGAGCCCGGCGGCGGCGGCGGGGCTCTGGCCGAGGCTCTCCAGGGAACCCTTCAGGCCCAGCGCGGCGCCGGCGCCCACCTCGGCGATCAGGTTGTGGCCACAGGCGTGACCGAGGCCCGGCAGGGCGTCGTATTCGCACAGGAAACCCAGGCGCAGCGGCAGCGGGGAGGAGGCGGAGGGCTGGCCGGCCTGGGGGGGGGCGGCGGCGGCGGCGACGGCCACGCCGC